TGTAATTTACAGTGGATTATGGCCTCGGAGGCCTTCGGGGGCTTCTCGGGATCCTCGTTGGCAATCTTGGTGGGCTCCTGGCCCGTCTGACGCCGTCGGAAGCCGTCTGCGGGGGCCTCTCTGGGCCGACTTGGGGCCCTCTTGGGGTGCTCCAGGGCCGTCTTGGAGGCCATCTTGGGCGTCTTGGGGCCTCTTGGGCCGTCTTGGGGCCCTCTTGGTGCCGTCTTGGAGGCCTCTTGGGCCGTTCTGGGGCCGTCCTGGAGGCCTCCTGGAAGATCTTGGGGCAGTCTTTGGGGGCTCTTGGGCCGTCTCGGGCCGTCGGAAGGCCGAAAAGAAGCAAATGTCAACATCTGTTTAAATCCTAACGAAAATCAATGATTTTGGCCTCTTCGGGTCCTCCTGGACGCCCTCTTGGAGGCCTCTTTGGGCGTCTTCGGCCATCTTAGGACCATATTCGGCCGTCTTGGTGGGCTCCTGGCCCGTCTGACGCCGTCGGAAGCCGCTTTGGGGGCCTCTTCGGGCCAACTTGGGGCCCTCTTGGAATGCTCCAGGGCTGTCTTGGAGGCTTTCGTGGGCGTCTTAGAGGCCTCTTGGGCTGTCTTTGTGTCCTCTTGGGGCCGTCTTGGGGGCCTCTTGGGCCGTCGTGAGGTCATCTTGGAGGCCTCCTGGACGATCTTGGGGCGATCGTTGGGAGCTCTTTGGCCGTCTCGGGCCGTCGGAAGGCCGAAAAGAAGCAAGTGCGAAAATTCTGTAAAGACCCAAGGGCAATCAATGATTTGGGCCTCTTCGGGCTTCATGGAGGCCCTCTTGGAGGCCTCTTGGGGCGTCTTGGCCATCTTAGAGCTATCTTGGGCCGTGTTGGTAGGCTCCTGGCCCGTCTGACGCGTCGGAAGTCGTTTCGGGGGCCTCTTTCTTTGGGCCGACTTGGGGCACTCTTAGGGTGCTCCAGGGCCGTCTTGGAGGCCATCTTGGGCGTCTCAGAGGCCTCTGGGGCCGTCTTGAGTCCCTCTTGGGGCCGTCTTGGGGGCATTTTGGGATCTCCTGAGGCCATTTGGAGGCCTCTTGGGCGCTTTGGGGGCGATCTGTGGGGCGTCTTAGGCCGTCTTGGGCTGTCGAAAAAGAGCAAATACGAAAATCCTTGAAAACCTGAGGGAAATCAATGATTTTAGCCTCGTCGGGTCCTAGCCTCGTCGGGTCCTCCTGGAGAGCCTCTCGGAGGCCTCTTGGGCCGTCTTGGAGGCCTCTTGGGCACCTCTTGGGCAGTCTCGGGCCGTCTTGGAGATTTCTTGGTCGGACTTGGAAGTATCTTGGACCCTCTTGGGCCGTCTTGGAGGCCATCTTGGCCATCTGGGAGACATCTTCGAGGCCATCTTGGGCATCTTGGAGCCGTCTGCAGCAGGAAAAACCTTTGCAACCACCTCTTGCGATCCCTTCTGGGTCCTTCCGGGTGGCCAGCGGGACTGGCCGGAGCCCCGGGGGAGAGTTCTTCTTTTGGAAGAAATGCCAGAACCAGAACCGAAAGGGTCTAGCACGCCGGACACCCTTGTGACAAGCATAGGGGTCGGCGGATGGCAAAAGGGGCGGGGGGGAGTGTACCCTGATTTGGGACCACCCCCCCTGGGTGGAAGGGGTTAAGGGGAAAGGCCTTCCTTTTGATCTGAGAACGACTGCGATTGCAACCTGGCTCGATTCAAAGATCGTCTCTGAGGACCACCCGGGGGCGACGGACCCAGAATTCCCCCTCGCATGCGCCGACGGGGTCGGCGTTTCGGTCCCATCCCGCGGCCGAGGTTCTGCTTTTTTCCCCAGGGGTAGGTTTTCGTCCCGGATCCGAGCTTGCTGGTCCCGGGGCCGATGACGGGCCGCCCGTGTCGGCAGGCGCGGACGTTGAGCAGAAAGTGATGGCACTGTGGATGAGCTGCAGTCAACGATGATAGGAAGGATGGGGCCACTGGGCCAGGGTACCCTTTCATCCTTGCCCCTTCGGCGCAGCCTTGCCAACTCTCGCTGGCCAACGTTCGGCAAGGATGGCGGCGCGTCAGGGTACCCTTGCATCCTTTGGAATTCGGCCGCGCTCCGCGCGGAAAACCTCAACATGGCGTTCCAAGGCCCTTGCATCCTTACCGCGCATCCTTATCATCCTGGTTGACTGTATGTGGTGAGATCTATGTGGTGCAAGCTCTGCGGTGCCCGCAGGCGGCCGCGAGGCGGCCGCGAGCGGCGGCTCGGCGACACCTCGGCGGACCCCCGCGCGGGCGGCAACGGTGCGGCCACGGGCGGCGACGGAGCGAGAACTCGGCGGACCACTCCGAAGTGGGCAGGCCGCGAGGCGGCCACGGGGCGGCCACGGGCTGACGCGACGAGGCCTCGGCGGATCCCCCGGAGTGGGCAGCAACGAGGCGCCACACGGGGCGGCCACGGGCGGCGACGCGGCGAAGCCTCGGCGGACACGTCCGAGTCCTTGGCGACGGGAGCAGGGAGCCACCCGCCGCCCGGCTACCAGAGAGACCCCGGCGCCGGCCTCGTCCCACCTCCTCCCCAGCCTTCTCTTCTCGACTAGAAGTAGTAGTGACCCTTCGCCAGGGTGACCGAACGCCGAGCGCGATGCGATAACAGCGTCTGGCGCGCTTGGGTTTGGTCCCCCCACGGTCCCCCAAAAGGCCGCGCACCAAAGGTCACCCTTACCCAGGGTCGCTCTTGTGTCGCCGATCTTCGCCTGACTCGGAAGCGAGTTGGTTTGGTTGATGTTGGTGTTGCTGGAGGCTTCCCATTGTTTTTGGCTCCGGCCATGAGTGGCCTCTCAGGCGATCTCTGGCCGGCTTCTTCCCCACATCAAGCTATTTCTCTCGGCCTTCTTGCTCCTTCTCCTCCTCCTCCTCCTCCTCCTCCTCCTCCTCCTCCTCCTCCTCCCCGTTCGCCCCCTCCAGGCCAGTGGCGGCTTGTCACCATCAATTGCAAATTGCAACAGGCACGGTTCTTGGGAAAGCCGTCGGTGTTGAAGGCCGCGAGATCTCTGCGTGGCCGTTTTTTCACAGCGGGCGTTTTGGCATCTTTGTCGGGCCTGCAGGGTCCCTCGCAGATCGATCCGCCTGGAAAAAGGACGCAGACAGATGGGGTGCGGGGCTCTGGTCGCGATTTTCTGCGATGCTGCAATTTGTCCGCAACGTCGGATCTCAGGGGAAAACATGCCCCCCTCCAGGGCTCGTTTCGATTTCTCCGATTCGATTCGAATCGCTTTCGACGGCTCCCGATTTCGATCCGATTCGACTTGGGATTCCCATTTGGGCTCCGACCGACGTCCGCCGATTCGACTTTTCCCGACTTGGCTGCCGATTTCCGCCGATCCGGTTCATTTCGGTCGCCGATCCGACCCATCGCTTCGATCCCTGGCCCCCCTCCTCTGCCCTTCGGCGATCTAGGCCGGATGCCTTGCGGGACCGGGCGGCAGCGCCGCCGACCAGAGGAGGCGAGGCCGGGCACAGGTCGGGCTGCTCGGCCTGGCCGCCATCAGCGGCACCTCGGGCAAGCTCCCGCCGGCCTTCGTGCTGCTCTTCCCGGTGGCGCCCCCCCCCCCCCAGTAGTCGAGCGGGGGATCGACGACATGTTGATTTACCAGCTAGATTTGTTCGTCGAATCCACGACAAATGCGTATAACGTTTTCGTAGGCCTACGAACATTATACGTTTTCTGTTTGTACATTCGGCGAGGGAACCAATGTTGACGTACATTCATGTCGTAGTCGATCTCCTACTTGGAGTAGCAGTCGGACGGCGCTAGGACGAGGATACTCCAGAGCGTTCCAGAACGCTCTCAGAGCGTTCCGGAGCGCTTTGAGAAGGCCGCGGCGCCCGACACACACTCCAGATACGCCGGATCTCGGAGATTCTAGATTTATCCGCATCCGATTGTATCCTCGTCCTAGCTTCGTCTTAAGCAGCTCGGGCGTTGCGTAATGGGGGGGCGATAAATCAGGAGAGGGACGACAGGTGCACATGTTGTACCCTAAAGGGGCCTACCAGCAGCGCTCGGCTGAGGCTGATTTCTGAGGCCCTCCGAAAGGATGAGGACAAGGGCCGCTTGTCCCAGCCACGGCGTCCGACGGAGAGTCTTCGGATTTAAGTCTATGTGATGTTGATGTCAACTAACGGGGACCACTGGGGCTCAAAGGAGCAAGAAAGGTATTGGTTTTCCCCCCCCAGCCAACTAATTGACCGCCTCCTCATTGAGCCACGCCCGAGCAGCCGCCGCTGCCGTCGCCGACTCGAGCCCTGGCAGCTGTCGTCGCGAACGAAAGCACGACGGCCGGTTTTTTTCCAAGGCGTTTGTGCCTCTACGGGTCCCGTTCTCGGGTGCGGACCTCAGTTGCACCGTTAGGGAGGGATAGGCTCAGGGGTGGATGCATCGACCCCCACGCGCCCATTCATCGCCGAAGGAGGAGGCCTGATGGTCCGATCCGCCCAACAGTAGCGTGCGGAGTCGCTTTTGCTGGCTTGTCGCCGATCTATCGCCGATAGCTCGCTGCTTCCCTCCCTGAGCCGGTCCCCCCTGGACGCTTCTCCCCGCAGGACCGTCGAGAGACGGCTCGTCGGACGGGGCTGGGACGAGGATGAACCAGTGCCAGAGCGTTTCGGAGCGCTCTCAGAGCGTTCCGGAACGCTCTCAGAAGGCCGCGGCGCACGAGACAACCTCCAGTTCCGCCGGACTTCAGAGATTCTCGTGTATCCGCACCCGATTTTATCATCGTCCTAGCCTCGTCTTGACCAGCTCGGGCGTTGCGCAATGGGGGGCGATACAGGAGTCGGGGGTGAAGACAGGTGCACCTGTTGTGCCCAGGGGCCTGCCAGTAGCTCACCCGATGTTATCCTCGTCCTGGCTTCGTCTTAGCCAAGCTTCCAGGGATGAGGCAGAGATTCCGGCAGCCGCGCCCGCCGGCCCTGACTTACAGCTTCGCGGGCACATGGGGCGTTCCAAAAAGGGCCTTGCCTGCGAGGATAGAAGGAGTTGTCATCTCTTCCGCGGCCGAGGGCGGCGGCAGTAAAGCGAGGGCGCCTCCGCTGGCAGAAGCTGGCGGAAGCTCGGCGGAAGGCGGCGGAAGCAAAAGAAAGCTTCGGCGGCTCAAGGGCGCTGCTCGCACAGGCGGGCGTAGGGTCGCAAGTCCCCACCAGGCCACTTCCTTTTCTTCCCTGGCCATGGCGTTGCCTGCTGCTTCCTGCTGACGGAGCGGGCCAGGGACATCGGCACTAGTGCCTGCGAGGTGAGCGCTGCACGGTAGCCCAGCCGTGCTGGACCGCATCAGCCAGAACGAGTAGATTGTTGGAGCCTGGCTTTGTGGGGAATTAGAGGGCCCTTCGACGGGCATTGAGGCTAATGGCCGTGACTGGGGCATGCTGGTATCGTGGACAGCACTTTGCTCGCGCTTCGGCGGCTGGTCTGGCTGCAGCTCACGTTCGGAACGAACCCTGTGCTACACAGGACCTCCCAGCCTATTCGGGCCAGAGGATATCGAGAAACCAGAGTGGGAAACAGTTGCTTACCGTCTGGAGCTACAATACAGAAAACTTGGTAGTTGCTGATAGGTTGGGGGGGCTTCTTCGCCTGGCACGTGATAGAGGAGTGGCAGTTTGCTGTTTCCAGAGCACACTTATGACATTAAGTATGTCCTGGCACTGCGAAGGATTCCAGATTTTACCGACAGCCAGAACTTCTACGAGAACTAAAGACGGGTGCCTCATACCGGTGAATAAACGATTTTTTGGGAATGATGAACTTTGATGTGTTCACGAATGGATCCATGGACGCCTTCAGGGTGTTCGTTTTCGACGGGAATGGCCGCGTCCACGGGATCTCTCTCTCTCTCTCTCTCTCTCTCTCTCTCTTTCTATATATATACATATATATATATATATATATATATATATCCTCAACGGGTACTCATGGACCAACGAGCTTCCGAAGACCCCGAATGGCCAGCAGGTGGAGGACCCCGATAGGCACCAGAAAACCCAAGATGAATTCTGGAAAGAATATGCAGCCACCATATCCAGCATCCTTCGACGATCTGCGCTTTTATGGTGCCTTGACGCGAATACCACGGCGGCCCCGTCGCCGCCCAACACAGGTTTTGCAGGCTCAAGGAGACAGGCTTGTCGTACAAATCAGAATGGTGCCGAATTTCTTGTTGTCTTCCAAAATCAAAGGCTGGTTGCGCTCAACACTTTCGGCAAGACTACCAGATTCAATTCCACGTGGGTCCATACCGATTGACGGAGCTGGTCAACGACCGACTACATATGTGTGAGGTTGCAAGCAGGGTGCGGACACAAAGCATATCCACGACAGGACATCCCTGTAAACCTAGGCTGGTACAGGGACCACCGTCAAGCCGAGGCGAAGATTGATGCGGGAGTGCGGTGCAAGTTCCAAAAAAGGCGAAACACATTGGGTGGAACCGTGCGCTTACTATGTAGGATCTGAAGGCACTCAATCAAGCACACCGACACGATGAGGAGGCACAAGCAGCTCCTCTCCCACCTCGTGCAGCCAAGCTCCAAGCAGCGGTGGACCAGCAGATTGCCGCACATCATTGTAATGAGGAGTGGCAGCAGGTGCGCGGCCCAGGCAAGCGTGTTTTCTGGCACGTCGGAGTATTTCAACACGCTGGGGAGTGTGATCGTTGACGCTGCCGTTGGGAGTTATTCAACGAAACCGATTTGAGAAGGAGCATCCAACCTTCCCAGAGGACACACGCAAGGCGATTGCCACTAAGCAAATGTACCAACACATGTTAGCAAGCGTTCTTACTGGCAGCTGGCTCCAGAAGTCGCCCTTGCATCCGTACACTCAGGCGGCCAAGACCGCGAAGAAAGCCGTCAGATCACGCAAGCGTCAGCAGACTGCATAGTTGGTTTACCAGGCCGAGCGCGCCGACCGCAACAATGACATCAGGCGGAGCTACGCCATCATCCACCGCCTTGCTCCAAAGCCCTCGGCACCTGCCATGACAGTATTTAACCCGGAGACGGGCACGGTCTGCTTCGATCATGATGAAGATATGGTTGTACGGACTGATGCGCTGTGCTCTATATTCAGGGCCGAGGAGATCACCCAGAGCCTGGCGCCCAACATACCGTTAAATGACCTCGACGACCCGTCGGCCGACATCACTGCTGACAACACCATCAAAGCCGTCAAGAGGCTCCCGAACTTCAAGGCAGCTCCGACCTTGAAGTGGAGTGATCAAGTTTGCCAGGAACCCGGATGTCAGCGTCCACATTCCGATGCCGCTGTTGCGGAGATTTGGAAGTTGTGCTTCGATGTCGTTGCGGAACCACTTACACAGGTGTTCCAAGCATGCCATCAACCGAAGCAAGTAGCCCAGATATTCAAGGACTGAGAGATTGTATCACTACGCAAGCCAACGGGAGATGGACGAAACGCCATGGACCATTACAAGACGGTTAACCTCATCAATCACATGGGAAAGCCTTCGCCAGCGTTGCGTGCGTGCGAGAGCTTCGTCAGTGCGCAGGCCGCTTGTCACCTGCCCAGTTCGGAGCCCTACCGATGCGATCCACACGACGCTGCGGTGGTGGTTGATGACGTCACTCTCCGTTCTCGAGTGTGCAGAAGCCGCGCGAACCCTCCAGCAATGATCTTGGTGGCTGCGCTTATTGGCTTCGAAAAAGCGTTCCATCTCCTGCCTAGGGGGAAGATCTAGGAGTCTCTCGAAAAGCTCGCGGTGTCCGAGGGGGTTCGGCTTGCGCTCGAGGCGCTCCACGAGGGCAACTGCTACATCTTGAGGGGTATCAGAACGAACGAGCCATGCAGCCCCCCCCCGTGCGTCGCGGGGTCCGCCAGCGCAGCGTAGAGGGCCCTCGCTGTTCATCGCTATCTACGATTTCATCACCCAGGAAATCTCGGATCAGCAGGCGGCCCAGGGCTTCGAGGGAGTCTCGGCGTTCTCAGACCCACCCGTAGCCAACGTTCGGGGTAGTGCTGTTCTGGGGGCAGAGGAGACTAGTATGGACGACGTGTCCCAGATTAAGTTTGCGGGTGACCTCGTTGGTTTAGCGGCGTTCGAGAGCCTCGATCGTGCGTCGAAGTATTTTCATTTCTTGAAATCAGTGATCGAGGCCGGCGGCGCGACGATGAACGCACCCGAGCTAGGAGCGCCGACGGTATCGTCGGGGACTGGGCGTAAGAAATTTCGCAAAGACACCGCAGACAAGACCACGGGGGCGACCATGAGAATTTCCGCGCGCTGCACCGTCATGGCCCATGCTCCGAAAGCCGTCAAGTACTTGGGGGTTCGAATTCGGGACGACGGCTCGATGGCCGACGAAATTCAACAACGTCTCAAAGGAGCGAACGCTGCCCGCAGTCGCCTCTCCCGAAGGGCCTGCAAGGGGAACCTTTGCAGTCGCCTCAAGGTTTGGCTTTGGACATCGCTGGTTCGCTCTAGTGCGCTCTACGCTATGGAGATTGCGATCCCCACGCAAGCGGAGCCCAGAAACTCGAGCGCTGGCAAAGTATGAAGTTACGCCACTTACTTAGATCCCTTGCACACGTGCGACATGTTGCTAACGAGGCGATCCGACGCAATGCGAACGCCCACTCAGCGTCGTCGACGCTGCTGTTCCGAAGCTTGAGGCGGTGGCAAAGAGTGATCCCCCCTGGTCTCGGCCCCCGGGAACCCGAGCATGACCCGACGAAAGCGGCGAGAGCGGTTCTCTTCGGACGCCTGAGCTTTAAGAGGAAAGTCGTGCCCAGGAAGCCCGTGAGGAGGGTCGCGCCCTTGCACCGGGGCCTCCAGGTTTTGCGGTCACCGCCCTCTGCCTCGCAACGGACCGGAGCCCCTGGAGCCCCTGGACAAGCTCCCGAGGTCTCGAAACCATGGCTTATTTCGTTCTGCGGCCTGGAGTTGCGTGATCTTCGGGCGGTTCTCTCTGGTCGAGCGGAATGCGACCTGGGGCCTGCTGGGGAGGAACGTCCCGACGGCACCCGATACGAGATGCTCCGATGTCCCGAGCGTGGCGCGATGCGCAGGGATCCGAAAGGCCTCGACAGTCACTGGAGTCAGACACGAGGAATGGAAGCGAATCGCATTGCTCTCCCACAGGCCTGCCTAGACAAGAATGTATGCCCTCATTGCCAGCAGACGTTCGCCAGGAAGGATGCGCTCCTCAGACATATAGAAGTACCGAGATGCTTAGTGTTGAAGGCCGCTGAGGCTCAAGCAGTACCTCGAGCTCAAGCGCCCGCGCCCGCTCCTGCTCCCCGCGCCCGAAGCGATGTTCACCCCGCTGGCGGAGTAGTCGCGATGGCGAGGGACGCGGAGGAGGCAGGCGAGAAGGAAGAGAAGGACGAGCTCTCGGAGGCGGGGCCCAACCGCCAGCCGACCCTGGCGACGGCCAAGCTGGTTCTTCAGGACGAGGACGACCTGCGCAACCAGCGGCGCGACGTGAACGCGGTCCTCGCCCAGCGCGCAGACAAGAAGCTCCAACTGGCTCTCGAGGAGGGAGTCGACAAGCACAACCAGGCGGGCAAGGAGGCGAGAGACAAGGCGAAGGACGTTTCCAATGGCCACCCAAGGGGCAAGCGCCCAGACGCGCTGATGAAGATGGTGCTCTTCCGTGCGTCGGAGGCCCTGAAGAGCAACGAGGAGGCGATGATGGCAGCCATCGCGCAGGGTCCCGATCCAGAGGCCACGGTCAGGGTGGTGAAGACGATCATCGAGTGGGGCTCCGAAGTTCAGGATCGCGACACGACCTTCTACGCAGCGCGTTGCTTCGTGATCGCGACGGAGGACACGGAGGGCAACATGGTGAAGAAGTGGATCTTCGCGATCATGCACCACCGCCAGCTCCACCAGTCCTCCGAGATCCTGAGGGACAACGGAGGTGGTCGGGCCGTGGGGCTGCAGTTCGAGCGCGACTCAGCGCCGCGCAGCCAGGCAGCGAAGAAGGTGGAGAAGCTGGCCTTCCGCGAGGGCAAAGGATCCAAGGGCAAGGGCAGGGCGAAGCGCCAGAAGAAATGAGGGCTCTGAAGAGACCCGGTAGCTCACTTCAGACGTTGTTGGCCAAATGTTCAACCCGCTCATCTCGAGGGGATGGCACGTAGCGCTTGCGGGGGTTTTGTGGGCTCCGCGCGTGGCCGACGGTCCTCTTGGGCCTAGAGGGGTTCGGGGGGCCTTCCTCGCAGTGCCACCCCCTCAGAGGATGGGGTGCGCGAAGCGGGAGTCGACGCGCTCCCTGCGCTCCCAGGGTTCGCTGGACTCTCTTGGCTTCGATCCTGTCTCGTGCGTTTCATGGGTTCCGGTCGAAATAATTTCGATTGCGCCGATGCTCGCTTTGTTTGGGCTTCCGTAGTCAGTGTTACCAGCCCAGCACTTGGCCTCCAGACCTGATGACGAGAGGGGGCAGTGGTTTGTGTGTGGAAGCAAATTATGTGTCCCCAAGGGATGAAAACGTTTT